CGCTTTTTTCTATCTTTTCTGTTTTCGACATTTTTCCTTTTCGATATTTTTCTTTCGACATTTTTCCTTTTCGACATTTTTCTCTTCGACATTTATCCATTCGGCATTTTTCCCTTTCGATATTTTTCTTTCGGTATTTTTCTTTCGGTACTTTTCCCTTTCGACATTTTTCCTTTCGGCCTTTCTACGGCCAACCTCTTTGCATAGAAGAACTTCTAATCCATAAAACGAGTTAATATTCAAAGTTTGGGATTTTTTTCTTCATCCTTAACTTATTAATCATAAATAGAATGCTAATGGAATTTTAAAAAAGCATTGTAAAATTTAGCCTATTCAACTATGCTTCAGATGATGCATTTTAAATCATTTTCCTGTTCTCGAAGAACAGGAAAATCAAGAAAATTCAAAAATCATCATAAACTTTTGGCTGCTTGGGAAAATGTTTTTTTTGGTTCTCTCGCAAAATTACTAGTCTGAGGCAGCGCTCAATTACTGTTTTGAGTAGATCTAATTCGTTACTATGCATATCCCTCAAAATATTTATCTCGCGAAATCATGCAACACTAATCTAAAAAAAGAAGTCAGCTAGATTTTCGTGATTCGTGTCTTCATTTGTATATTCTTCTCCTACTTTTTTAATATTAATTTATTCAATTTAATGTGACGTCTCGTTGTAGTTTACAACTTCACCAGACGCGATTCTATGTACAATTTTTACAATTTTAAATTATAATTTAAGATCATACAATTAAATATCTACATTGTGTAAGAGATAAAACAGATGTAAAAGGTGCGACAATTAGACTAGTTCATTTGCTTTTTTCTTTCTTCTTTTGATCTTCTTTACATTTTGTTTAATAGTGATACGGAAATGAATCATCAATCCAGAACAACACTACTACCGTCTTGTTCCGTATCACTATTAAACAAAATGTAAAGAAGATCAAAAGAAGAAAGAAAAAAGAACATGAGCTAGTATAATTATCGCACCTTCTACATCTGTTTTGTCTCTTACACAATGCAGATATTTAACTGTATGATCTTAAACTATAATTACAAAAATTGTACATAGAATCGCGTCTGGTGAAATTGTAAACTGCAATAAAACGTCACATTAAACTGAATAAATTAATATTAATAAAGTAGGAAGAGAATATAAAAATGAATACAAGATTATCAACCTTCCTTAAAATGCAAGAATTTCGTGATTCGTGTAAAATCTATGTATGTTGTCAAGATTTCATATTCAACAGAACAAAAGAGAACAATTACTAAATGAAAGAAAATTCAATACTAACTAGACAGCTTAGATCAAGAAGCAAAAGGTTTGAAGGGCATAGAAATTGAACATGTTTGAAAATGAACAACCACACATTGTATCGTATAGCGGGAGGCGTTAAAACTTTGGAACAAATTTTTAATCATAGTAACTAATTAAAGGACTCGCGTTTACGGTGTTATTTCCATCAAATATGTGGATGTTACTTTACGATTTTTAACGATCCGCTTTTAATTTCAAATATGTTTTCATAGGTTCCAATTCTTCAATTAAGTGATCGTGTAAAAAAGGAATGCCATTTCATGCTTCAAGATGTCACAAGAGATTTCCATGATGTATGCTCACCTGTTTCAGTATATGTTCTCATATTTCAATCTTATAGTATTAATTAAATTTCTCTATTTTGAATTAAGAAAAAAACTACCATGAAATATATTTGAGATAGATTAACGGATAATGCAGTCTCCCAGTTCGGCTATAAGAATGACACAAAACGAGAATAGAATTAAAAAGGCTAAGAAATCATAATGATTATCTCTTATAGAATCTTGATGTATCAAATGGTTGTTTGTTTCTCACATAGATTGCTTAATTTATAACTTTCAACAGATGCGAACGCGTGCTTCTTTTATTAGAAGTAACTCACAGGTACATAAATAGGGTTCAATTCTACATTTTTTCAAAGGATAATTTATTTGCATATGTAATTAACTAATAAATATCCACTGTCGCATGCGCTTTATTGTTATCTCTAATTATGTGAAGTGGTGAAACTAACCGACACGTAATACTTATTTTCTTCTTTTGATAACGTATATAAATAATGAATAACCGACATAGTGGAGTGATTTCAAATTTTACTCACTTAAATAATTTGGCGTAAAGAATTGTTGTCATTTTAGCGAACATCAGAATATTTACCCATCTATTTATGAGCTATATCAAGCTCTTACTAATTAGATAGACCGGGCAAAATGAACTGAGTCGGAATTCGTTTTTAATTAGGCAAAACATCGCAGATTGCTTTTCTTGTACTTATGAAAGAATTTTTCATTTTAATTGCTATAAAACGCCGGACGTATACTTTTCAGTTAAATAAGCACATCATTCAGCTTCACTTATTCTGACTGTTGTGTACGCAGCAATAAATGTTTTTTTTTATAGAGATTATAAAATGATACGTGAAATCATTTTCTATGAACAAACAAGTCAGCAGATTGATTTGTTGACAGCTAAAGTCAGTCTAAACACAATTCTTACTCAACCAGAGCGTGCATCTGAGTTTAAAAATTGCAGTCATTTTTTTTCTACGGCAAAACTTTAATCGACACAACGTACGAACGTAGATTACACTGTACTTTGAATATAATCTGTAAAATTTGTGGTATTCAAACTTAAATAAGCAACGATAAAAAAATAATACTTGAATAAAAGTTAGTTCGACTTTTCTTTTTTATTAGGCTGAACTTCCTAAACATAACTAGATTTTGCTTGAAAAACCTAGCGAACTGTGCCACTTCTTCAATTGAACAAAATATTATTCATCGTAATATAGTCATATTAATAACTCGCTGGAAAATATAAGTTTAAAAATCGATAAAAAAAATGTAAATTGATATAAATAACAAACAAAACTTCTTAATTTTATCTCTTATACAAATATTTTTACAATCAAAATATTTTAAAACTTTTTAAAGCTGTCTAACACCTCTGTACAAGCGAAAATGATGCACTAGATCTAATAAGAAAATTTTCTCAAAGCAAGCTATGTAGAAAAAGAACTGAAGCTGATGTAACAGAAAAAGAGCAAAAAAGAGACAGTAGGGAAGTTACAAGGGTAATAAAATAGGTGTGGAAGAATGAAGAAGTACGAGACATGAAAAGAAATCTCTCGACAAACATCTTGTAAGCAAGATCTTGGTCAAGATACAAAGTGCAGATATGTTAACAGATCTTACATAAAAATCCATAAAATCTTGAATTTACACTAAAATAAAATCTGTTGCATTCTTGAATACGTTTTCAGTTTATTTTCATTTTAATTATTCCTCTCTCGAATAACTCCAGCAGGTCAGATGTTGGGATCTGACTGGTTATAAGTTGGTCCGATATCCGTCAGACCAATTAAGGATGTTCTCTCTCGAATAATCGAGAAATAGTGGAGAAAAAAAAAATTTTTTAATTTGTGTTTCGTATGTTCAATCATGCTGTTTATATACAGCTGTTTATGCATAAAAAAAAACGGTGAATGATTAGAGAGAATATAAATACACTAATGATATTGCTTTCTGATTCGTTCAAGATCTTATCAGAAGATAATAGTTAACGATATATTCTCCATGATCTTGCCAAGATATTTGGTACAGATTTATCTGATACAACCAATATATAGGTCTCGCAAAAACTTCTGGGACACTGAAAAATGGGATCTCAGTTTTCAGTATCCTATCGACATAAAGTTTGCACATATAACAAACATCATTATTGATTAACTATTAAATTACCAGTCACAGTTGTGGAACTTTTGTTCTTGATATAAAAAACAAAAAGAACAGAAGTTAGTCAACATTAACTTGTAATTTGAAATTAACCATCGAAACCTTGCATCACAGGACTCAATTGAACTACGATATTCGAAGTTACTTTTTCCTTTTATGAAGTATTTTCTTCTTGCAAACTGGAAGAAAGACTACTCAGGTGTTACCCTATATTCTGTGAGAATTTCACGTTAGTTTGTTGTAATCTCTTTCGTATTTGTCTCGAAAACTTGTTTCATTCAAAATCGTTTATAAAAAAAAGTATAATCGCATTGTGTAAATAATTTTTCAATCAACCTTTATAACATTTCTTGCGTGGATAGGTACATACTAGGGCTACATATAACGGTTGGTTTTGCGACTCTGAATAATCTCCGGTTCTGAAGTTATAAGAGGTGCAATAATATAAGCTACTATCCGTTATAACTCCTGGCCAACTAAATATCTATAGCGCGGATTAGTATTAATGATTCATGCCGATCATGCGATATATGTTCACAAATTTTCAGTCTCATATGTCTTAAAATGACTGAGATATCAGACTAACATTTGTAGTTAGCGACAATGTCCCAGGACTTTTTGCCGCTGAACAATTTTTGTTTTATTTGCTTTTTCCTATTCGAAACAAAGTTTCAAGATTATGCCTTATAGTCTGAAAGCTTAACGAATAATTTTTTCGTTATACGCACAGAAATTTCATTCGAATGAAATTTTGAACAATGAGACTAAACTCTTAAGCGTCCCATAATTTTTTGCCCCACCTGTAGTTTAGAATTATTTAATTCTTTTATTCAAACTTTTCACTTTGTTGCTCCATTAATGATCAATTTGATTTCAGCTACGATTCTCATAACAAAAAAATTTCGTCCAGAAACAAATCTTCATGTGCATCTCACTTATAGAGAACTTTTGCAAGAACAACTGCGACAACATCAACAATTACTTATTGATCCAGTGATACTGGTTATCCTAGCATCACTACGTTTAATCATTTATTTTGTATCAAAATGTATGAATTCAACAAACGACGCATGGCTATTTCTGATGGGTTATTTTATCTCATTTATTCCACCTATGCTTACATTTTTGGTATTTATACTTCCTTCAAAATTTTATAAAAAAAGAATGTATGAAATCTCTCGTTGCTTATCGAACTACAATACAGAAACATTTTCAAATTACTAAATTCAAGTAGATAAAATTCGTGTTCCTCCTCTATTATGAAAATCGTTTTTTCGGATCATTTATTTATCAAACTTCAAAAGAAAAATATTATCTATGTTATTTTCATGAAATACTGTATTTGTTGTGTTAGTATTTTTGTATGCTACGTCGTAAATAGATGTGAGTGTGGGTGTGTCAAACAGAAGAGTGAAATAAACCCATACTTGCACCTTGGTGTTCGAAATGAAACGAAAAAATGTTAATGTATGCGAGTTTCTTTTCCTAGCCTCAGTCATTAGCACTTTACATATGTGATGCTTGAAGTCTTAGATACAGGCGCTCTCATTACACTTTTTTACACTCTGAATCAATTAATATTGATCTTGCTGAACAATTTGTAGTATAGAAATAGGATTTAGCAGAAAAATTTATCATGAGTAGGTTAAAATGTACAGTACAGAAAAACCCGAGAAAAACGCACGGAGTCTTTTTTTAATGTGAAGATATATTTTGCCGGCAATCTATGATACTACATATTAAGCGTTTAATTGCGATTGAATGATATTAATACGATTTCTACTTCGGTTTAGTAGAAAAATAATGCCTATATACAAGGTTTCTTTCAAGAATCATTCCATTCGTATTTGATCAATATTCGATTTTCTTCATCCTTGATGTCGTCGAATGAGTAACCGCATGCGTCGATGATACCATATTGATCATTCAACTCCTCTAGTATATCTTCGCCGATAGATTCGAGAACTTCGTACAGGTTACGTAAAGTTTGGCAACGATGAAAGAATTCTAAACAATCTTCATCTTCCGCTGACCAGCGGTCGTCCAATTCGCAAATTTTACAGAGATACATTGGGCATCGATCAGGATTAGACTCCCAATCATTGTTATGACTAGATAAACTGGGATATTCATCGTCGTCGACATTACACTCTTCCTCTTTCTTCCCACAAAAATAGCACCATTTTCCGGAACATCGTGCACAAGTCATATGCGTACAATTGTCATCTTTGATACCTGCCAATTCACAATGAGGGCATTGTCTAAGCGAACCAGTTGCAATGGCTTCGTCAATTAATGTTTTATAATGACGATACTCGACGCAGCGAGATCGATGTGTTAACTCATCAGTATCATCCTGTACAACGCTCAAGCATATCAAACATGATCGTTTCCCACAATTAGGATGTTGACAGGTGAGAAATTGAATAGGGCAAGCATCAGTTGTATGGATTTCCAGATAAGGACAAAATGGACCTGTTAAATATCAAAATGGGATCACAATATAATTTTAGTTAAACTCTGAATTTTTTTCAAACTATTTACATTTTGCTAATTCTTCATCATTATCGAGACACTTTTTGGACCAATAGAGTGGAAGCATACAAGCAATATATTTCTCATAATAGTTTTCATTTATAATAACACGCTCAACAGACGCTTTGTTGAAAGCTGTTCGACAACTCCCACATTTGAGAGGATAGTTAAGTGTCGGCTGAGCAAAAAACATGTTGACCATTGTGTTGATACAGTTTGCACATGTCACTCTGTGGCATTTTTGATTTATGCATGTCAAATATGCATCAGCCGCGGGAATATTTACTTCGCATATTCCACAGCTAAGCGTATTTTCTTTCGGCGATGGTATTTCCAATATTGTCGTTGGCTGCATAGTGGGCTCTGTAGGATCATTTTCTGTAGACATATTGTTGACCCAGAAAAGAAACGTGAATAATAGATATATGAGTAACAGATGATACTTTCCATGTCGTTCGCACTATAAATACCGACCGCGTTAGTTTTAATTTCATCACCATATTTTATCGCATACACGTCTACAGATGGACAACTCCTTGTTGATTCAAAGAATGATGTAATTAAGATTTCGACGTTGAAGTTTTAGTCATGACTATTTCGAAATAATGACGTAATTACACAGGAATGCATTATTTGTTTTTGATTCTCGTTTTTTAGCCACGTGTCAATTGACTACAACATGATAACATATACCAAGAACACATATCAACATGAATGTCATCACTGTTCGAATTTCATGTGAAAAGTGTTCAGTTGAGATTCCTATTTACTGTGATGCGGGATTGAACTCAAGAATCTTTAGAAAATATATTTCTTCATAACAAGATTTTTCTTTAAACATCAGAGACACAAAATGACATTCTAATACTTGAAAAAAGAAGAAGTGAAATCAAGATGTTTCTTTTTTAAATTATTTTCTATCCCATTAGTGTAGCAGTGCTGTCTTCGATGAGTGCATGCCAGAAAATCATCTATCAGTTCAAAAGTCGATGAAATTTATTGAAGAAATATAAGCTTTTCCATCTATCCCATAGTACTGTCAAACGCTACTACCTTACCAAAATATTGGATAACAAATCTGAAGAAACATTTTTAGAGAAAATGAAGCAGTATGTCACGTACTGTTTAACACACTTGTAGTTTTGAGAGCCAAACCAGCTTTTTTTATCCAGTTTATTACTGATACTACGAACACCGTTGGAGAAAGCGTTCGTAGTAGAATATCAGCTATTTTGTAACCAATGAAGACCTCTTAATTTGTTCAATCTACAATCTCGTAAAACGTTTTTACTGTGTTCCACGACATTTAAGTATGATCGTTGACTATGGTAAAAATGTGTTTACTTGTCCGCAGCTATTTGACAGGTATGCCGTTTTTTTCTCAATAATAAACTATACATAATTTTCTCAATACATACTCCAAAACATTATCATTCAGTGTGAAAGCATATCTGAATTAGTTATGTTGTTGCCGTATCGTATCCTTAAAGACCCAGCTGCAAAGAAAGCGTTCTTCTAAAATCGCGAACAGTGAATGTAGACGTGCAACAATCATCGGCAGACATACTTATAACTCTTTATCTTTATGTATTGATGGCAATATAACTGACTGTAAATCTATTATACAGAATGCTTGTCGCATACAATCAAGCTTCATCAATACAACTTGTATTCTTTTAGACACCGATGCAGCAATATGAAATATATTTTGTAATTTGCTGTAATTCAATCACTTTCTTATTTTTACATGTTCATTCGACTGCTCTTTGATATTCTATTCAGATTTATGCAATATGTTTTTAATAACGTCTTAAAAATTGAAGACGGTTAACATTATATGTGAATTACATCAACGCCATTGTTGTTGCTGCTTTGTCTTTAGACGGATATATCGAATCAGCAGCCATCAGGTATGCTTGCCTCAAATTAGCATCATTTTTTGGCAGCTTTGGATCAAGTTTACACAAAACACTACTTTTGTGAGAATCATTGCTAATCTCCTGAATTCCATTTAAGATCGATGGGAAATGCCGGGCTTCCAAATAACGATTACAAATCAAATCGTTAAAAACGCTTTGTTTATCGTCACTGGAGTACATTGATCCTGCAGCTGAAAGGACGACATCCAAATGTTGAACAGTAAATTTCTCATGTAGCAGAAATGTTTTGAGAGTAATTGCTTTGCTACTATCATTGCTAATGTCATCGATTGCTTTTAGAATTACTTGGAATTGTTTTGCAGATAATTCAGAGCGTTTAGCAATACGCTGAAGAACATCACCTTTTTCTTTTGCAGAATACATAGTTTCAACATATTCTACAACACCGGTAATCATCTGATCGGATAATTTTTTGTTTGTCAACAGATGCTTCAAGACTGTAGCCTTTTCTGAATCAGAACTGATACCTTTAGCGAGCTGAATCTGTGTGTTGAAAGCAGATAGTGATTCGACAGTTGAATTGTCTGAAATCAATGTCTGAAATTACTTCAAAGTATATGATAACTGCGGTATAGTGGGAAAATGTTTCGATATGATTTTGGCTTGTGCCTTTCAAGTCATTTCTGAAAAATAATGTCATTAACTGCTACAACATACAGTAGGCATCAGCTAATTTCATCTGTAGGTTTATATTAGTTCCTTCTAATTTTATAAGACAGAGATTCTTCTCTGATTATCAACGTCGGCTTAGCTATGCGAGCCTCTCGGGTATTTTCGATTTCGAATCCACGTTGATAAATTTTTAAGATTTCTTAATGCACTTACTGTGATATTTCGAATCATCTTCATAAGTTTCATACTCGTCGGTCGATATTTCGTTGTCGATACTTCTGGTTTGTTATTTATGATACTGTGACACGTGTGGTGACTTGCGATCTACTTTTTCTGGTGATCCCAGCAAGAAATATGGGGGTTCTATTTGTTTTAAATGGATGATGTGAAGACCACCCGACTGCTTCATTTCGCTAACGACACGAACATAGGTACCGGGTAAAAGTAAAATCTCATCTTCTGCATTGAATTCAGAAAATTCGCTTATCCTCCGACCATCAAACACTCCAATATTGAATAGTGTGCGAACTCCAGAAGCACCCAAAAAGTTAGGTGATGTAAGAATATCCAATGATGATATGCGCGATCCAAATGACCACCATATGCGTTCATCATCTTTACGGTATTTCGTGCTTAGATCGTGCGGTATACCACACCATACTGTACCTCGATATGGAGGTAATTTATAAAGTGCAGCTAAAAACAGTTTCACATATCCGTACCAGAGACTCAAAGAGCGTCTATCTACTTTTCGTAAAGCCTCATTCAGTAATCGATAAATTGGCGTTTGTTGTGTAAAGATTGATAGCTGCTTGTTCATCTTGTGTTAATCCAGGCCTGAGCTTTTTGGAGTAGTTTCACGCTTTATATATATATATATATATATATCTAGAATGGATAATATTTTATTCGATATTTTTCGACTAACAACCTATTCGTTGAATTTAGAATCGATGAAGATAATTGTCATTTTCGATGAAAATAAATTCGACGAAAACTGACTGTTTCTGCATAATACCTATTAACTCCTAGCAAAGTGTCTATTTCATTCATCTCAACAACAATCTATGAGGCAGATCAAAAGGTAAAATCATGTCTCCTCAGCTATTCTCACATTGAGTTTTATCAGGGTCTTTAATTTGAAGTTGCTAAAGACAATACTGAAAATGTATGCTCTGTGTATGCTTATCATTTCTATAAAACAATGCATTTACTTCAGGACCATTGAAAGAAATATGGTTGTTCGCGACCACTTCAAACAATACATTTCTATTGACACTTCATTACACTTGAGAAAGGTGTCTTTGAAAGGCTGGAAAGAGTTCAAGGTGAAGGAATTAGCTTTTTTTTATTTCGTTTGATTGAAAATTTTGCCGAAAACGAATGTTTAGATATAATGCATGCCAATAGACAGCCATTATGAGATAGACAACATAAAATACGTTTCACTAGCGAATTGTTGTGAACTGCTCGAAAAATACTAAGAAAAACAGTCTTTTTTTGGTCGTGCAGATTTCATCAATTCAGCTATTCATGATTAAAAATATTTCTAAAAATCTATTGAGTGTGGGTGTCATTGTGTTTATACGTTTACTCGTAACAACACCTAGACCCTACACCTATACCCTTTTTGAAGAACATTTTGATTGGGGATATTCATTTTGAGAGACATTTTAAAGGACAAAAAATCGCGGGTCATCTTAGATTGTTATCGTTTCTATTGGTGAATACAATTTTTTGTGTTAACATGATAACAATTCTTAGTTTTGCTTTAAAATTATATTTTCATTGGCCTCCGATTCCTTTAAATTCTCAAAATAGATACAAATCATCAGTCCCTTCCAAAGCACATCGAATTTTCCGCAATAACTATACTTCGTAACTTTTCTTGCATATCCATATTCTCTTCATTATTTACTGAAGAATCTAGCCAAAAGATGCTATATATCTCCAAACTGTTATTTTCACTTAAATTCTTGTCACTGTCTGTCGAGTATTTTTATTCTACGTTGGCAATCCGAATGATTTTACCATGCTGTTAAATACTTTCATTTAAGCAATCACGTGCGATGATAAAATTGGGTTGTCTTATCTCTACCGTTTAATTGCTATTCAAATATACCTAAATTTTGCCTTTTACTGTCCATCTAACGGTATGAGAAAAAAAAATTCTCTCTTCAATTTATTCTTACTTGAAAGTCAAATAATCATTATATCGTCTAAAAAGAAAAGCTCCTTGTGTAAATTTTTCATCTTATGAATGGTACTGTAATCATCTGTAGCTTTCGCTTCAACAAGCAATAGAAACCATCTAAAATTACACGTTGTGTAAAGAAATTCTCTTACCTTGAAAGACGCCATCTCCTGATCTCAATGAATAGACTTTTCTTTTTCATCGCAAAACATGTTATAGTGAAAACTTGTGCTCGATCAGAACACAGTACAATATACTCTAAACAATTGTGTGAACACCAGACAAAAAAAACTACACTAAAAGTTTCATCTAAAAATTTAACATAATCTGAGCGTCTGATCGAATAACTTGATTTACTTTCACTGAACGTGTGTGTCGTTGAAGCTAGAGTGCTACCACCGCTGTGGAATTGTTTTTGACTCGATATACTGTTATTAAATAGAATCAATTTTGTATTGATTGATGATTTTTTTCCTCTGTGCATAATGCTCATAAATCACAAGATACGTTATATCGACCGAAAAAATATCGATTTTATATTTTTATCAGGCAATTTAGGTATCAATATTTTAAATCACCAAAACATCAAAATGTGTTGCAATGTCATTTTATAATGAACTTATAATAAAATATTCAAAAATGTATTGCTTTGTGTGTGACAAAAATTTTACGTCGTCCTTTATCTAAAGAATATATATGCATAATAAGCTATACTGTAATCACATTGACAAATGTGCTATTTATTCATTCTTTCTTTTTACAACGTCATATGTATAATATTCAAAATTCAATGTATGCTTAGTATACCATTTAGTTTAACGCATGAATGCTCAATCATTTGCGTTGATAGTATGATATCAAACAAACTTGGATATTTTGTATTTTATTTCGAGTTTCTATTATAAAGCACGTTGAAAAAAATAATTTTTTTAAAATTTATTTCTTGCATTGAAGTTTTGAAACAGAAATTTCTTTTCAGATTGATGATTATTTTCTCCTGCAACATCAACAACGGCGCTTCTCAACGACTTTTCGAACCTGCTATATATTCTCTTTTTTCAACAACGGCGAATGTATCAGCAAAACTCGTAAGTAATTACTATTTTCAACGTAAAATTGTGATTGTGAAGTAGAATTTATGGAGAAAAAAATTAACCAAATCCCTATGTCAGTTTCACATGGCAGTATATCGATTTGAAGAAAATAAATGCAATAATCCTCTTCTATATAATCATCATTCTATCTAACATGCATATTGTGTTATTCAAACTAGACGTTGTGGAGTCATTTTTTCAATATGTATCATCGCTACAATTGCAAATCGTATGATGGTATTTTATCGTTATGGAAATGGAATAGATATGTCTAGCAACGTACTCTTTTGGTTATGTTTGACCACAGCACCTGATCTACTTGTTTTACTTATTGTGTATGTTTTATTGTTTCACATTAAACAGATACATTGTCAACTCAATCAGTACGGTGTTATTCTTGGCATGTGTTTTGCTACCTTTATTATTCTGGTCTCATCCTGTAACATTCTCATGCTGAAGATCACAGGTAGGTTTTCTTTAAAGAACAAATGTTCTAAGCAAAGATATGGTCAATTTTTTCGAGTAGGAAAAGCTTTTAGAAAACCCTTCTATAGTAAGAAAAGAGTAGTGGGGGGGGGGGGGGGGGGGGGGGGGG